CAGTTTAAGAGCAGGTATTTCCTTTTTCACCCTGTTATTTAAAATAACTGCTCCTGTTACAACTGTGTGAAATACAGATTTCTTTTGGATTTACTGTCTAAACAAAACAATGGCTTGGGTGAACCTTCCCCCTCACCCCCCGCAACGAATACATGAAAACAAAGTAGTTACAAAGTCATTCAATGACAAATCAGATGTTTTGGTTTGGGGAATGGGACAGTGGTGAGAACAGCTATGCTGTTAGATGTTAAATGTAGGTAAATATGTAAGAATAACAACTAAAAACGTTATGCCTAGAAAACATTTGAACTGAACAATGGGTTTAAGAGTAATGTTCATGTTGATGTTGGCATAAATTTTTAGATTTCAGCATTACCCAACTTGGATTTTTTTTGGCAAGTAGGTCCTTTACCCAAGAGAATTTGCATGGCCTTAACTATAATATAACAAATATTAAAATCCAGTTTTAAAAAACAAGGTCACTTTCAAAAAGTAAGATGTCAAGTATATATGTAGACCAGATGGATTCTGGTTTTGTGATAGTTGGGGGGGTGGGTATGTGCTTGCAGTGTGTAACCTATGGAGAGGTGTGGAGGGGCAAGAGTGCAGCTGCTAGACCCCAAATTCATATCTGACATCTGTGAAATCAAGTCACATTGGACAAGTTTAATAGGTAAGCAAATGACTATACCATCAAACTGTGATGCTTGTACACTTGTGAAATTACAGAAAACCAGCTGGGAGTTAGGTTAATGCAGAGAAGAAAATCTGTTATTTCATGCTTTCAGAGGGGTTCCATTGATTATTCTGAGATTAAGTAATCCTGTCAGAATGAGGTAAAATCCTGCCTAAGCAGAAATAAATAAAGTTCAGGGTTATCAGTGTGACACTTTCATGACCACAAAATTCATCCCAGCTGTTTCAACAGACAGGCCTGGTTTCCTGTGTTGGACTAGTTGGTGCAAAGAACAAACTTCTAGGGTCCAATATTTTTTTTCTTTTGTTTAACTTGCCTTACTTAAAGTTACTTTGATTTGAGGACTATAATATGCAGTGTGCTAATGATATATCTGTTTCAGTTTGCAGCTCATCTAGTGAAAAATAAATACCCAAGGGTCTGCATCCTAGATGGAGGAATCAACAAGATCAAGCCAACTGGTCTCCTCACTGTTCCTTCTCCACAAATTTAAGTGACTGTAAATATTCAGGACAATCTGTCTGAATAGGAAGTCTTACCATAGAACATGGATATGGATATTCCAAATCAAAGGGCATTATGGTGTCTTCACAAGCTATCCTGATGATCAATGTCTTATCATGAAGATCTAGAGCACAGGAGCTTTGCATTTATTCTTTAACATAGAGCTTCAGTTGGAACAGATAAAAACTGTGAGGTTTCCAAGTTCTCCAAGAAACCTCTTTCAGCATTGATATAGTGCACAACTGGTTGAGCAACAAGAAGAGTAACTCATTGGGTATCTTATAACTATTTCTGCAGAACAAACTCAACAGGCACTTGATGGCTCTAAGCTACACTTAAATAGATTATTTTTCAAAAGTATTGTACTGTGAATATTGACAGTTACAAGCTGAAACTGTACCCTGTGTATATCCTGTGAAAAAGTGTGTTCTCTAATATTTGAAAGAGTAATTGCTGTATCTTGTGACCTAATTTCTTTTTGAGAAAGCGTTTTTTCATCTGGATTGGAAATAAAGATGTGTCCCAGACTGGAAGTTACCATAAGAGCTGCTGCTGACTCAATCCAACCTGTATCATATCCTGAGGAAGTGGAGAAAGCCTACTCCTCTCTGGAGATTTTAACATTCTCTTTCCTTAAACATGTCAAACACAACAATTTCTGAAACAATTATATTTACCAGCAAGGAAGGATTTTGACAATATTGTGTCTTCTGATGATAGATTGGTTATATAATAGTGATTTTCCATTTTAAAAGCTCATGCCTTAAAAAGAAACAATGCAATTTTAATTTGCATATGAGAACATTCTAAAATAACCACTCTTGAGTTGGAGTTGCACAGTTGTCTTTGGTTCTATACTCTTTCAGCTAGTGGTGTCATTTTTTTTTTAAGTCCTGTTTCTTAAACACGAACTTTAAAACTGACAGATAGAGACCTCGCAGATTGATACAGCAAACCTGTTTCAGAACTAAACTGGATGCGAGTGATGTAGATCAGTGGCTTCCACAAAGGGTATAAGGTGACTGCGCACTATAGATGTGGAAATTACTTTACAATAAGAAGCCAAAAGTATCAAAAGCACCAACAGAAACAGAAATTGGTATCTCTCTGTTGCTGAGAAGCTAAAAATAAATTTCATTCAGACAAGTACCACCTTTCAGGAGATGTGAACAAGTCCCCACCCAAATTTCTCCCCCTCAAAATCCTAGGTTAGCTTTGCTAGCATGTCAGGTCCATTATTCTAAAAATAATGGGGGGGGGAGGCTAGGAAAATAAAAGAATCTGTCTTCAATAATGCTACTTGAAAATAGTACCTTTAATCCAGGAAAACCAGTTGTGATAATGTAAGACTTACAGTATAGCTTTGAAATTAAATGGGATTTTAGAAGAATTAATTTAGAAGACAAGAAACTTCTAGATTTCTCTTTCTACATTTTTAAAGTTTAAAAAACACTGGTGTGACTTGAGGCTTAATAATCACTGAAGTGTGAGGCTGAAAATGTATTTTGTAAAATGAACAAAATGACACCAAAGATCTGTTTGCCTGGTTACAATTGCATATTGGCTTGCATTGTGAATTTGACACGATGCTCTTTATAAGAGCATTGTCTGGGCCACAGCAGTTTACACAATGACAGCTCACTGTTAGGGTAATGAGGATTTGCTCTGCATATAGTTATCAAATGCCTTAGCTGAGGATTTTATATCATGAATAGTTTTTAGTCTGGGAAGCAGAAATTTGCAGCAGCTATCTTTATTTCATTTTTCTTCTGCCACAAAAGATTTCCAAAACTGAGACAGTTGAGGGGGTGGGGTGGTCACTGAGAAGGCAGTGAACAGTCTTTATAAATCCCAGGCAAAATTATTACTTTTTTGTGGGTTTTTTAGTGGTGGTGGTAGGTTTTGTTTTTGTTGTTTTAGGAGGTTTGTTTGAACTGAAACCCTAGAAGATGGGACTTTGTGGAAGGCACTGAAAGAGGAAGGCTTTGTTCTTTCTGTGCAATGAACAGATTTTATCCTGAATCTTCAGAAGCTGATCTCAAGCGCTGTGTGATGTCTCCTGAGAGGTTTAGTCTTGCCCCAGCTGTGGTTTTGAAAACCCTATTGGAAAAGTATGATGGGTGAAAAGAATATGGGGGAAGAAAGTCACATTTTAGCTCCCTTTATCTCAGCTGTGATTTATCTAAAAAAACCCCTGTGGAATTACAACATGCTGAGATAGATATATGTATGGGCTTTCTTTGGTCTAAGGACAGCATAACATAGCAAAGCTTTCAAGAAGTTTTTGACTAAAAATTCAAGATGCCTGGCAGAGTGACTGAGAAAGGGATCAGAAATGAAGCATAGGGACAGATCATCCGTTTCCTCTGTTAGCAGAGGGTTTCTACAGCAATCTCTGGTGAGGCCCAAGGTGCTCAGCTGACTTTAAAAATAACTTGGAACTGAAGAGGAGCAGTGAGGTTAATAACGGTTTTCCTGATACTACAAAATCATCCACTGTCATCAAAGTTTTGCCTAGCTGCATGGAGAATGAGAAAGACCTTGTGCTACTTGGTGTCAGAGGGATTCACTATGAAAGGGGGTCCTGAGGAACAACAGTTTTAACCATGTGCAACAGTCTAACGGCAGCCAGAAAGCCACACAGGATATTGGTGATTGTAAGGAAGGAAGTGAACAAAAGAAATTATACCATCAGAGAATTAACCCATATGGTACATTTTGAACACAGCACAGATGCTTTTTAATATTATAAAAGAGACACAGGATTAGAATGGAGTCAAAACAGAGTTGGAATAAGATGATGTTACTTCTGTTGACTAAAACTCTTCAATTTGGAGAAAAAGACAACTAAAATAGAACATCCCACCTTTTGCTGAAAGTACATCCTTAAAATGTGAATTTGTCACCAGAAGAGTCCATCAGTTTATAAAAATAGTCCTGAAGAAGGATTAGACAGATTTGTGGAAGAGCTCTATCTCTGGCTATTAACCAGATGATTAACAGTATTCAACTCAGAAATTTCTTGACCTGTTTTTAAGAGAGGCTGGGAGCATACACCAGAGAAAGACTTTGTCCTGTTTCTTGCACCCTGTTTTCAAGCATTTCCCCTTCATAAGTGGATATTAGGCTATACCTCGTGTGTCAATTCAGGTGATGTTAAATATTTTATCCATCTTGATACTTCTTTTTCCTTTTTACAAGTACTCAGAAAAGTATTGTAAGCACAAAGTATAGAATGCCTTTGAGAAAATGGGATTTCGTGTGTACCCAGCTACTTGTTCCATTGGGAGGAAGGGTAGGAAGTATTCTGTACCTCCTAAAGGTATTTTCATTCTTAGAGAAGCAAAGTTATCTTTTGAGTAAAAATTACCTAATATTTAATGGCTTCAACAATTAATTTTCAACTAATACAACTGGGTTTAGTATTTAAATGTCAAGTATCTATGGATTTCAGCTGTAATGCAATTCAGTCTATGCTTTCAATTTAACTGAGTAAGATTCAAAGCCTGTGTATTCCATTTGTTCATTCATGTGTTATTGACAGAAGACTTAAAAGCTGACATTAAGTAAAAGTTTACATTATGAAGTAACACATATTTTCCAGGAGAATTTGTGAGAGAGGATGTGTCTAAAAGCAGGAAATGTCAAAAACTGCTAAACAGTATTGAAATTTTTTCCCATGGAAATAGAATTACCTTGGAAGGTTTTGTAGCTAACTGGTTATGACTGCTAGTTGCTGATGTACCTGTAGTTACTACTTTAGTCAGGGTTTTTGAAACTGCCTATAAATAGGCATGCTCTGCCTATTTATTTTAATTCATTTATGTAGGACAAGTGCTCAGTCACAAAATTAGCTTCTGATCTCCTTTTCCATAGACAAGGAAAATGCTTGCATTTTTTTGTAATTTCTCATTAAATAATTTCATCTAACTTTTGGGGTGTTTGCTCAGTTTAAGAGCACCAAAGTGCATTTACTCTGTTACCCCAGCAATATTGGCACTGCTTTGGTGGATCAAGCAGTTGTCAGGTTTTGCAGAGCTCTTGAAAGATTTCTGTAGGCCAGGTTTTCTGAACATGTACATTTTTAGCACCATGGTTTGTCCAGCTGTACCATTCTCATTCTCTATTTTAAGACTGCAGCTGAATGCTGTAAAGATCTAGTGGGAGAAAAAATAATATTAATCTTCTGTGTCTTCTACTGCTAGCAGAAAAGTGTCTTAACTAAATATTTTTCCACTGTTTGGCCTGGAAAATGCAGACTCTCCTAGTCTGGTTTTTTCCTACCATTTAAGAAACATCATGAATCTGCCACAGCCACCTGGGTCTGTAGCTTCCTGCCAGGACAGTGGATTCTCCACAGGATACCCAGGTGGGCATCTAAGGAGAAGAACACAGCAAAGGAGTTAAACCCTCTTTTAGCAGCCTCAGACTTATTGATCAGTGCAGATTATGAAACACTGCTGTTCAACTGGTGTCCTTCTTTAGGCAAGATGTCGTTCTTTTGAGATTTTTATTACACTTTGTGTCTAAGTTCCTTGGTTTATTTGGTTTGGTTTGGGTTTTTTTTTTTACACGTGGCTATTTATTCTACTTCATCCAGTTTTGAGCAAAGATTAAGCCTATTTGTCCTTATTCTAGGAACCTCCCTCTCCTGGATCCATCTTGTTTCCCTTTGTCACCCTGGTTTCTCTAAGTCTAGGTCATCTGCAACCATGGTTCCTTCCCAGTTCAGGATGGGAACAACTCACCTTATGTAGCAGAAAGGAGGGAAGCTGTGGTGTTTGCTTCACTTTAACTTTCATTAATTTGGTTTACGTCAGGTAGTTCTGATTTGAGTTTTGGGGTTTTTCTTAGTTTAGCATGAGTTTTCCCTTTCAATTTATGTGTTCCCCACTGGTAGTCTAAGGTATTTGATAGACAGTCTTTCTGTTATTTCTGACATAGAAGCAGTAACCATAGTAGCTTGGCAGAGACAAGTGTGTCGTCTTTCAGTTAGGTAATTTATTTTTCCTATCTCCTGAATAATCTTTAGAAGTGTAAAGGACTAAATAATTTGTCAGAGTGGGTAAGAAGTTAAATTTCAATACCATCCTTCCCTTGTTTCTTTTTACAGGCTTTAGTCTGTTACTATGCTGACAAGACCACTACACTTAAATTTGTTGCCATCCCTATATGCCTTTGTGTAGTCATAATCTGTGTAGGCATAATACAGTGGTGCAATGTTACTTCTGTGACCTGGATATTAGTGTCTAGACTTCCCTTGCTGTTCTAGACAGCTAAGGAAAATGCTTATTGAAGTATCTCTTAGCTGGACTTCAGAGCTGCATCACAAACAATGCAACAACAACAACAACAACAACAAAAAACAAAACAAAAAAAAAAAACTCAAATCACATGAGCTCTTCAGCAGCTGGATTGCTCATGTTATTACTCAAAGAGGTACTGTGAGAGACTTAGTTTTGTGGCCTAAGACATACTTGCTGTTCCTATTTGCAGGGCATGAATGTTATCCAGAATATTCTTTCCAGAAATTTAATTTACATTTGCAGTTTTGGTACCTTACCAAGTTTCCTCAGATAATATAAAACCTAGCTATAACTTTATTTAACTTTCACAGTGTTCAGACTGAGTTACAGGGAGGTCTGGGAATTGTGTGGGAATGAGCATGGCCTTCTAATTTCCCATTTCCAGTTATCTCTTCTTTGCTGATGAGTCGGACTGGCCTCTCCCACTGTTATGTTATAAACTTAACTTCTGCCATCAGTCTTATCTATTTTTAATTCCTTCTCCTGGGCCCAACTTGTAAAGATTGACTGAAAGAATTATTATTCCTCCCAAAAGAGTGTTTCTTTCCAGGGCAAGTAGTGAAACTTGATCTGTGCTGACTGAGCCAATATCAGATTTGTATATTTGACTAGCAGAACTACAGATTTTCCTTTTTCTTTTAATCTAATAATGGTACTATTGTCATTCTCTTAGATTGCCAGCCTCAGTAGGGAACTGATGGCAGGAACCGCATTCTGTTTTGGAAATAGTGTTTCATTTGCCTTTGAAGCAACCATGAGGCTTGTAGTTTGCTGCTGGTGGTACCCTTTAAATAGTAACATGAAAATAGCTGTTGTAGACGACTGTTTGTGTTCTCTGACAATAGAGTCTGTATTCCATTAATTTAGGTTGACAAATTCATCTTGTACCACCATAAGCATGTGTTTGAAAGTAATTCAATATTGCAGTGTGGCTGTCTTATTATATCAGCATTTTGTATACCAATATTATGCAGAGTTTAAAGAAACTGGTCCCAAAAATAGAATCAGTAGGGGTTTATTACCACTGAATCAATTTGTAAGTATTTTTTGTAAAGCTTTTTCCCAAAATATGTTCAACTGTAATGTAAATCCATGTTCAGACTAATCTCCTGGTAGTTGTCCTGCACATAAAGTTAGAGAGACTTCAGTGCATGTACTGTTGTAATTCATATATTTTACTTCCCTGCTGATAGGTCATTATTATCTGTTTGGGAGTTATGTTCTATAATGTACAGTCACCAAGTTTCCAAACACAGTAATCTATGTGAAAGAACAGACAGAGCAACTCAGATATCAGTGTGGTAATCATTATATTCAATGGGAACAAACCAGAGAAAAGTTGTAGATCAGTTTTAATTAATATTTCCTAACTGAAACAGTATTAAATTTGTTTTTTCTTTGTCTGTCTAGGATTATCTGGCTTTATGTCATTTTAGAGAGTCACAGCATCTGGTGATAACAGCTCTTGCCAGCTGAGCTGGCCAGTGGAGTAAAAGTCCTGTGAGTACAGAACAAGTACATGGAATAATTGTGGAATTTTAAGAGATCCAGTAATGATGGCAGTAGCTTGAGTTATCAGGCTATTATTGCCTGCCTTACCACAAACTTTTGATATGTCTTGCATAATCTAGGTGGCTCAGTTCCCCTCACTAAAATGAGGCTAATAACACTTCCTAATTTTACTCAGTGTAGAAGAAATATAGTGAGCATTGTGACCACTTAAAATGTTTGAGGACAATGCAGACACTAAATACTTCTTTCCTAGGAACAAGCTGTTTCCTTGCGAAGCCAGATGACATTTTGTAAACAATCCTTCCACTAGTAAGTACTATTAATGAATTTCAGCATTGACATAAACAGTTCATAGCATCTATCAAGATGCATCTATCAAGAATATAGTACTAGTGATTAAGAAGCCATTGTATTACAAAGCCTGTTATAAATTTTGGTTAGCTACATCCAGCAATCATGTTAATAGTGTATAATAAACACTCTGGTGCAGTTAGGCCGTAATAAAATATGATGTGTTTTCAACAACTACAATACTTACATTTTTCTTTAGTGTTGATCAAGTTCGACACCTTCTGTAAAATTAACTAAATACTAGGCTTTACAACCCTCTAGAACACAAGCAATAAAATTATAGCCTCCCTTATAAAGCAGAGGTCAGAACGTAATAAGAAAGTGGTTTTGATTTTCAGTTATTTTTTAGCAATGCAAGTGAGTTTGTGTTGTGTGCACAGAAGTTACGTGTAGAAGAGGAGAAGTAGGTCAGTTTGCATAGTGCTTTTG